AAGCTGCAGTATCCAAACAACAAAGCTTGTTGTTAAACAAAAAGGTTGCTTGTTGCAGTCCCTCTACCAATAACTCCTTTTCTTAGAAACAAGAGAGAAAGCTATAACAACACCTGAACATACTTACCTCTGGGAAAGAATGAAGTTGCAAGCATCAGCCCTTTACAAAATGGTCACACCTCACCTGCATTTGTTTACCCCCTTGAAGTTATAGTGCTGCTCTCAAAAAGGCATAGTAAGAAAAAAAAATAATTCTAGAAAAAATGTTAATTCTGCTGTTGTAGATAGTCAAGGATATTCTCAAAAAAGATGTTGTGGGAAATACTGCTACTAAGTTAGTGTTTCCTTTGTTGTCTGTTATGTTGCTTATGTACTTCTAGGGAAATTTGGGTCATCTAGTATAGCGAATAAATTGTCTCTATTTTCTGAACAATGAGGTAATTCATGATTGCCCTTTTGCATAGAAGTAACTGGCAGCACTTCTGAGCAATATGTCTCAACAGCCAGCATATTCTGTCAAGACAGCATAATTTTTTGAAGCTAAGCATAGACAGTTTCTCATAATTTGATAAGGATTTCAGAATTGTTTGGAGTAAAGTTAACATCATGAATATTGATAATAGGTTTGCTTTGTCTAGCTTTCCACTGAAATGTTATATAGAGAATGCATCCTCTGCCCAGGATATGACTATTGCCCTCATGCTCCGACAGTGGTAACAACTCAAGTCCTACACCTGTGATCAGTAATAATTGTATAGCAAGAACCAAATGCTCTGATATATTAAAACACCAGCATACCAACATTTCATGAAATGGCAGCAAAAAGATTTCTCTGCTACAAGACTTAACAAAACCCACTTTTAATCTAAAATTTAAATCTTGCAAACAGTTTATGCTTGTTCTTATATTTATTGTGAGTAGTCTCACTGAAATCAGTAAGATAAATGGGTCCATAAATCTTTAGCACAGAATAGACAAGGAGAGAAAAGAAACATTACTCTTTCCTGGCAATTGATTTGCTCAATCCAAGCAGCTGGCATCCGAAATGGAAATTGGATCCTCTGATCCCTAATCCAGTGCTTCAGACTCTCTCTGAGAGTCTTCTGCTCTCCCACTTAAATTAAGAAGTACAAGCAGTTTATCTCCTAAGGATCTCATTCAAAATATTATACGACAAAATCCATCTGTAAAAAGTATGATTAGTCTACTTGTTGTACTATACATTTCTCACCTGAGAAACATGTTTAACATGAATAGCCTGTATGATCATCATTTTATTGCTTTAACATGTTTGTAATGGCCACTTACCCCATTCCCATCTCCCAAAACTTCTTTTCTCCTTCTAAACCTTTAACCTAAGTTATATATAACTTGGAAATATATAAACTTCTTATGTCTCTGAATTTTCTTTCTGATTCTTCAGGACCCAGCATCCTTCACTGTCCCAGCCCGCCTCTGGATCTCCCCCCACCCTGTCCCCAACTCAGGACCTTGTGTCAGCCTTGCAGGACCATCAAACCCTGCCCCAGCAGCACTGTAGGTGGGCCTGTCCCCATCTCAGCTACACCCACAGACCAGGTTGATCCTGACTTTCTGGCTGGACTGGTCCTACATCACCCCTATAGGCTTGCTGAGACTGCGCCTGCCCCAACTGCCCCCTGTGGCTGCCTGCTCCTGGGCCGGGGGTGATGGGAGAGACCCTGACCGCCAAACCTAACCAGACCCTTCATGGGTGCTCCACCACCCTGGCACCAGGCAGCTGCCAGCCCTCGTGGAACCTTGACACTGCCTATCTTTCAACAGCACCAGAGAAAATGAATGCTAACTTCTAGTTCCCTTGGTGTTTGGTGGGTGTTTGTTGTTGTGGTGGTGGTTTGGGTTGGTTTTGTGTTTTTTTTTGTTTGTGTGGGGTTTTTTTGTTTGTGGTTTTTTGTTTGTTTGGTTGGTTGGTTTGGTTTTGGTTTGTTTTGGTTTTTTTTTTTTTTTTTGGGGGGGGGGTTGGTTGTGTTTTTTTTGTTTTGTTTTGTTTTTACTTAGTGCATTTGGCAGTAAATTAATCAGTAATCAATAGAGTGGTTTCAATTACTTTTATGCCTCTATATTACTGCTTCCCTCTCATGCCCGTAGTCTAGGAGATAGAGAGTGGTATCTTCAGAAATCCTGGGCTGATGCTGGAATCAAACCCACAGAAAATAATCAAACACTTTCCTTGGTCACATATGCAGCATGTTCAGGTCTGCATCTTGCAGCATAAGGCAAACCCATGGATCCTTCAGATGGCCATAGGGTGTTTCAATTTAAGGAGTTTATGTTGCTTGGTGAAGGATACAAGTGACAGTGTACATAGCAGTGATATAGCTGTGTAATATATGCAAGTGGGGTGTTTGTTTTCCTTTACTCACAGAAGCAAAAATCATATTTTACCGAGTAAATGCCTTTAATTTTTCAAAAGATAGTACTTTCTACTGAATATATACTTTACAGAGGGAAGGATAGAACAAAACACTGCAGCGGGGCATGTCATGAATACCAAGAAGGACAGAACCATTACTGTAGTGCAACAATTAACACTTGTATCCCATTAGGGAAAGGCCTCATGACAAAACTTGCCTGTAATGAAGAGCTTTGCATAGGAAACCTCATACACATCACCACTTTCAATCTGACTTACCACACAGGAGTTTGAATTTAATTCCAAGCACCCTGTCAATTAAACTTGCAGTACACTGTTCAAGGAGTCATTACATTTCTCAAATTATTTTATTTTTAAAGATATCTGTAATTCACAAATCTATTTGAAAGCAAGTATTAAAAAAAAAACCCCATAATGTTTCTTTTTTATTGCTTTGGAAAGTGTCATAGCAGTACATAGCATCTTTTCTTAAAGATGATTTAGTCCTTCAGATACAAGTGAATGATTACTTTTTCCCCCACTCAAGTGCCAAAGTAAAATATGTTTGTCATGTCATGAACTAAATGAAATGCCTTTTTTGGTGTGAAAATATTAAGACGTAATTTCTCCCTCATTAGTTAAGTCCTACAAAATGGCATTTACTTAGTAGAAAAATCTTTCATTTTTAATTCAAAACTTTTTTGATCAACTTATTATCAGAGTGCCTGAATCAATTCTAGAAATTTGTTGCCTGACCTGTTTTTTTATTTTTAGTGAGTGTTTAATACATCACCAATGAAGCTTTAGCTATATCCCCAAACATAAGTATTTTACACATAGGAATGAGCTTACAAATAATTTGTTTATTAGGATCTGCTAGGGATCAAATGAGAGAGTTAGTTACCTATTTCCAAGAATGCAAAGTGTGATACATTTTTTTCATTTTTGTTTATTTTTTAGTGCAGTGTTATCTGTGTCTAATTTAGCAACTGGTAAATAAATTGACCTTAACAAGCTACACGAATATACCTTTCAATAATTTTTATTGTATTTTGAGTAACATGTCTGAACTATATCAGAGCATGATATAGTAGTGGCCAGGTTGAATTCTAAAAAGTTGAGACTGTTTCTGAAGATGTCATACATTATCTTTGCATTATTAGTAATTTGCAATAGATGTGCTTACTGCTCACCTGTAAATTAAAGGGGGACCTATCTTGTGGCCAGTATGCTGAATTGATTGACTCTCAAGATATCTGAACTAAAGTTATGCATCATTTGATGAAGTCTGGCTTTTTCCAATCAAGACACATGACTTCATGATAAACTTCAAGTGAACCACTGATGTTAACAGGACACTGAGCAAATCCCCTTGGGCTCACTTTTTCAGTACACAAAGACCTTTATTGCTATCTGTTGATGCTGCCCCTGACATTTAGGGAAGCACATGCATAAGACGTCTGCAGGGTCCAAGCTTAAGGTTCTGTGGAAGGAAGAAGATACAGCTGTGAAGACTTGGTTGGGCAAAATATTATTTGGCTGGTGTGGTTTGTTAGAGCTTAGGTGGCACTCATAAAGCTAATGCTTAGGCACAAATACACAATATAGCAAGTTTCCACAGGAATTTAGTTTCTTAGGAGGCTTCATTTTACTGGTGCTAAAACAGAGATCATAGATGTTCCTCTGATATTCCAGGGAAGGGGCTGAGCTGTATTGTCTGGGGTGTGCTTCTTTTTTTTTTTTTCATCTTAGTGGAATATAAACCAGCACTGCAGTAAAATCCCATTTCATTGCAGAATGTGTCCAACCTGTTATCACCAGTTCCTGGTGGTGCCAACACAGTTAATAGACTTTCAGAAGGCTCAAAGTTTGGCAAAACAAGCTAACTTCTGCTGTTAATATCTTTTGGTGGCATATACTAAATACCTTTATAATGTTGCACTCATATTCTTTGGAAAAAAATATTATCTTCCGACACTAACATTTAGGGGGCTAATCATAATGGGCCTCAAGCTCAGCTGGAGAATCAGGATGCTACAATAGTAGTTTTTAATAGCAGTGGTGTATTTTGACAGGAAAGAGAATAATAAATTGCAGGGTTGCTTGAGCATTATTCAGTACTTCTATAATGGGGGGAAAAATAATTGATAAGTTTCTTTTTGGCAATAAGACTCCTAATGAATCAGACATCTTGACAGAAAGACACTTAGCAAAAATAAATGTAACTACAACACTTCATTAAAGTAAAAGTATCTTTACTATTAATATACAAATGGTGAAGAGTGACAAATAATCGATATACTTTAAGCCATACTTTCAATGTCTTTCATAAATACAAAACCAGCATCTGCGATATTACTTCTTTTTACAGTATAGAGATATATATATATACACAGCATTTCATAGGGACATAAGATTTTGAAACAATAAACAAACTAGTTCCAGTGGTAGCTAACTTATCAATACATAATTCAGGTGGTATATATCGCAAGTGGGCTGTTGACAACATGTGGAATAACAAAAACAATAGATGGTATGCTTTAGCTTATACTGTACACAGCATACAAATACATACCAAGTGCTCATTGTAGCAGGAAAGCTATTTAAAAATAAAAAACCTTTGTCTAAGTAGTTCAGAATTCTTAGTGAGAACTCTATACCACGAGCAACGAAATTATCTTCCGGGGGAAGAGGGGGGTCTGACTGCTTTATATATTTGTCACTGATACAGAGACTCTGAGGGTTTGTTTTCCCTTCCCCCAACCTGTATTTTAGGTTTGAAAATGTAGTCTGTTTACATGGTCGAGTTAAAGGATACAGCAGGGTTAATGTTCCACCTCCTCTGGTTTTCACAGCCTGCAGTACCCTGCCTTTTGGCAATGCCCTCCAGCAGTCTCTCTTGTTTCAGTAGTTCCCTATTTCCCTTGTCCCCTAATGAGAGAGGCTCCCAGTATCCTCCGAGCCCTCTCTTGGCTCACTTTTTGGCACCTGTTCTCTCTGGTGGCGGCTTTCCTGAACTCTGTTGGCACTGCATCTGGTCATTTCGCCCGCTCCTGATCTCACCTGTGACTTAAAAGCTGCCAATACAAATTTGGCAATAAATACCTATTTCATTTCTCTGGGCTAAAATTGGCCAATATTCAAGTTTGAAAGTCAAACATCATGAGGCTTACAATGCCTGTTAAGAGGAAAGACAGACTGGTGAACTGTGATTTCTCAGAACCTGATCCAAAGCCGAACTTGTAATAGAAAGGCTTCTTTTTGGCTTAGGTTCAAATAAAATGATACAAGAACACATTTAAATGTCCAGTGGAAATACTGAAGATCACTTAAAACTTAGGGAGTTGTTTCCCCCCACCACTACAGAACTGCTGTCAAGTGGACTGGGTACTCCAGGAAATGATATGGAAAAAATCTGAAAAAGGGGGAGATCCTTTTTAATAAAGTTTTATTAAACCATGGTAGGTTTGCATTGATCAGCACAAATATCTGAAATTAAACAAAGGGATTTAAGAAGAAATATTACTTCTTAGAATGTTTTGATCTTCACCTAAATAATTATCGAAATCACAATGAATTATTTAGAGGGATATTTCATTTATTTATGGTCATATAACAACGTATGGGATAAAACTGTGATCAGATATTTTTAACAACATTTCCTGATCAGTATGTACTCCTGATAGGAAAACCTCCTCTGTGCAAATTTTTAAGAGCCTGGCAGGATATTTAAGTTCCACTTATACCTAGAAGTCTCATCCACAAAAGTGACTGAATCAGCTGAGGACATGCAGAGCCCCACTGAGATGGATGGATGAAATTCAGGTCCCACCGAAGTCAATTTGTGTCTTAAAGCCCAGTGAGATCTGATTCCTGTCTTGCAGTGCTTTCAGCACCCCTTCATAAATAATTCATAATAAAGTCTTGAGCTTTTTCAATAAATGGCCTTTTTGGAGGTCCTTTAATCAGGAGTGAATGTCACCCAACAGACACAACAATTACTCTACAAAGATATTACTTCCTATGACAGCTTACACAGAGCTGGTGAGGCCACAAATGATGGTGGAACAAATATTCACTGCAGTTTTACTCCAGAGGTAAAATGGTGGGAAGATGCTCCATAGCATCTTTCAGATTTGAGAAAAGATCTTAATATTTAGGTCTAAGTACCTAAATAGAACTAAGGCAACTTTCTGTCTGACTCTTCAACTTGAAAAATTGGTCAAAACACCCCAACACACCCCCTATGTGCTCCATCTACTTGAATCTTTTTAGCAGTGATATAACCTACTATGACCCTCACTAGAATTGTGACCTCAATAGATCTTTGCAACTTTGTGTTTAAAATATTTATGTGACTTGAGAATACTATCTCCAGTGTACTTTAGATGAGTATTTGAGCATATCTGAGAAGAAAAGTATGCCATGGTAAAGCTTTCAAATATTTTAAACAGGCTTTGTAGACAAATTATTGAAGATTTTTCTTTAATAAAGTGGAGTGGCATGCTATCAAAAGGCACAAATACATTTCCATTATCCAGTCTAGGAAACAGAAAAATGGCATGATTATTATACTACAGTTTGATGAATGGCACTTAAATAAATAATCAATGTAATTACCATCATAAGAAGAAAGCCATTGTTTTTGATGAACATCAATGCAGAGGCTGAAGACAGCAGGTGGAATTTACTATACCAGGGACCGTTGTCAAGCAGCCTTTGTAGATGACTGTCATTGTGTAACTACGTTGTACATATCTATGAAGAGATAGAAAGTAGGCCCAATCCTGCAAGCTCTCCTGTGAAAGTACATCCATCCTCCTGCTCACATTGTCCCCACTGATATCAGTGGGGTGCCATATGAGAGGTGGGTTCAAACACACAAAATTTCTTGCAAGACTGAGGCCTAAATAAATTAATCTTTGTCACATTAGGCATTAGCATCACAGGAATAGTAAATATTGCTGAAACTACAAAAAAAAACCTTAGAAGTCTCAAAAAAACAAATAAACAAACAAAACCAGGAAAAACTCTCCAGAGTATATATGTATACCAAATTTTAAAACATTAATTAAAAATTTTGCAATTATTGTGGTAAATCAGAATGCAGGTCTACTAAAAAAAAATAATAAGAAGAAACTGAGTCATTTTACTTAATTTTACCCCTTATTTTTTGTGAAGAGAGATTGTCACTGCCACATTCCATATCATTAATAATTTCAATGGCTCCCTCCCACCCTCATCCCTGGAGTATGTTAGTGTAACAATTCAGATTACTTTTACAAATAGTTATATTTTGTCAACTCTTCTGACATTTCATACTAACACTTAAAATTACTTTTAGACAGTAAAAGTGACATTTATACAGATACCTGTTTTGTTTTTTTTTTCTTTTTAGTCTAGAATAGGAAAAGAAAATAAAGAAATGATGTTATTCCAGTTCTACACATATCTTACATATTACTATGCTCTGTCCCTCATTTGGAAATATTTGCAAATATCAGTGGTTTTAAGCATTCTTTTATTGTTATAGTTTGGCTTTCTCCTGCACAGCATAGAGTCAAAGCACAGAGATAACCTATTAATCCACAGACCAAAAGGTATGCTTGGAACAGTCCACCAGTAATTTAGAACTGTTTAATTCTCAGTCCTCACATAGCCCAGCTGACAAGAGACTTAACAGCAGGAAGAAAATAAATACTCCTGGAAATAGTTTTTGATTTGTAATCCAATATAGTGGGAAATGCTTTTGCTTCCAATATTGAAATAATCTTGCAGTCTATTTTACTTGTAAAGAGCAGCATAGGTGTATTAGTCACAAATGTACTGGCAAGACCTTTTAAATTCTCTAATCCCTTCACATTTTAATTAGAGGCCATATTAGGAAGAAAAAAACACCCAAAAAACCAAACCAGAAAAACAAATATATAGCTGTTAGGCCATGAAGGTTTTTTGGTTTTGTGTATGTCTCTGTAAGAAGAACTAAAAGTTGAAATGCATCTACAGTTGAGCCTAGACACTGTCAGCTCCTCCCACATTGTATAGGAATCTTGTGCAAATGATCATGCTGGCTTCAGAAAAAGCACCCTTTGCCTAGTGAAGCTTGACTTATGTGAATATGCATGGCACCACCTAACTTTGTGACGGCAGGTAGAAGAAGAAAGGATGTTTCCTACTTTAATCCTCATTCTGGTAAAAATACTGTGTGATGTGGGCTGCAGATGTACAAGCCACACCAACCACATTATTATCAACTGCTGGAATTTTCCAGGTCCCTTCCTTGCATTTTGATATAGAGAGAAAGCCCAGCTGCAAATACATACTTTGTAGAAAGAATATATACTCACAGATATATGAGACAACTGGTTGCTTAATTATAGGTTAGGGGGCAGTCCTGCTCACTATGTACTTAGAAACAGGACAGAAATTTAATAGACAAGTAGCTATTTGGTAGTACTGCCTGCTCAGTACATGGAAGCATCCCCGAAAGGTCACAAAGGAATGTCTTCAACTTTCCTTCTCTCAGAAGTAGTGCTTTAGCATTTAAAGAAACTTATTTGCAGCAGTTTAAAATTCTTCTCTTTTATGACTTACATCCCACATTACTATTTCTTCTTACACATTCTTTTCACTTTGGTACTGGTTTTGTGGGAACGTGGCCTATTCTCCTAGCCACACCAGTGGTATGCCTCTGTCCTCAACTACTTGGTTCATTGTAGGCATTTCCCAAAGTCAGGAAAAATTGTAAAAAGACCCATAAAATGACTTGGTTTTGAAAAAAAAAAAAAAAAAGAGAAAGATCTATGAATTAAATATATCCTCCTCAGCTCTTTCAAATGCACTAGGGCTTGGGTCAACAAGAAGGTTGACCTGCCATTTTCCTCAAATTTAAGGACATTCTCTTACATTTCACTTTCAGCTTTACTGCACAGAAGTCAACCACTTTGCCATGACTACAAAATGTCAGCTACGGGTTGATGACATTCTGTGGGAAATTGGGAACTGTAAGGACTTCAAATATGAGCAAAATTCAGATATAGCATGGAAAGGACATAATTTGCTGAGTAAAGCTACACTTAAACCTCAGGTATGACTTAGATGTGAAAAATCCACAAGGTACTTTGCAATTTACTCCTGACAAGTAGAATTTTTCAGTCTATTTTTCTATATGGTTTATCTACTTCTTCCAAAGCAAGACTTTGAAAAGTTTAATGGGTGTGGATTCACTATGTTGGAACGGAAAAAAAAATATAGTGACACCATTAAATCAATGCTAACAGATACGAATTAATTTTTCATCAAAGAAATCAGTCAAATTTCAGAGTGGTGCATGTTAACCAGAATAATAAAATAATTATAAATAATAACTATGATTATAATAACCAGAATAATAAAAATTATTATCTTAAGAAATGCTCAACAGGAAAAATGTATTTGGTCTAATACACAATGCTATCAATTAACAATTTAAAATTTTTCTTGTTTAGCCAAAGTCCTCCTTTCCATCTGTTCTTACTTTTTTTTTTTGTTAAGACAAAGGGTATGAAATCATAAAGGAACAAGTGTTACTTTAATAAGGCCAACTTTTAATATCTCATGTACTGATCTGGGGAGAAAATGTATTTATCTACTACACTAAAATGCAGTTTTATCCCATGACTAAATGGTTAGAACTAAAAGAATGAATAGTGTATATGTATAAATATGTTGGGACAAATAATTTGAGTTTGTGTTTATCATAAGTTTTCACTTGAAGCCAAGTTTATGATCAAAAAAGAGATTTCTTTTCACACTTTTGCTACATTTTAGTTCACACAGGACCTCCAAAACTTTAATACTGAAAACCTGAAGTGCTGAAAAACCCTGGAGCCTTTCAGAATCACACTCATGTAATTATGATGAGGCCAATATACTGCTATGAAATATTTAGCCAATTTTATTTAAATCTCTACACTGTGGTTATCAACTTTTTATTTTACCAAATAACCCAGGTGGAACTGCAGGTGGAGCTGGTTCTATGTTGAAGAGTGTCTTTTTTCTTGTTTGCTTCAAGTGATAAGCACAGCTGGAATGACTACTGAGTGTCTGCCAGTGCTAAATTCTTAAATGTTATACTGAGACTGGTTTGTGTTTTTTTTTTTTTTTTTTTTTTTTTTTTTGTTTTGTTTTTAAGGGTAACCTAAACTTGTTTAATCATAAATGGAAAAAAAAATACAGTAGTATATGGCACTTTATGTATGTAGCTTGCACTGTAAGAACTGGAGAGACCTGATGTGTTGTTTGTGGTCAGGGGTGCTTTGTAACTATTCTTCTAAATAGACACACTTTGTCATATAATAAATTACAGTTCTTGTTCTGAAGACTTTTCAAATTCATACCATGGGACTTGGTGTCAGCAAAACTACATACTAAAGCCATTAACAAAAAAATAGAAAGGAACTGTAGACAGAAACTGTTTCATCATATGTACACATGTACTAACTATTCCAAGCTTAAGTTTCCCAAGAAATTAAGATCAGCTGTAAAGTTTTGGTCACGGGGTTACTTCAATCCAAATGCATTATCCAGACAGCTGTAGTTTATCTTATTATGCTTTGCTATCATCTTCTTTTGACTGGATGATGTCATTAGCAACTTTGATTTCTATGGTTTCTGGATTTAAAGCTTCTTTCCCATTTTCCTCCTTTAGTGGCAGCTTCCTATCAGAAGAAAAGAGCAATCATGGTAACACATAAATAACACATAATCTCGAATTTAAGTCTACAACATATGCATTGCTTATAGAGTTCACAGTGTTTCTAAACCCATAATTTATTAAAAATAATGTAAAATTATTTTATTGTGAGCTCTGAGGTTCTTTGCTTTTAAAGAAATTAATATTAACTCTTTCAATTTCTATAAAGCCAGAAAAAGCTAAAAGGCACATGTTAAGAACATTGCTGCTGCTGCCCAAAACGAAGTTTCTTCAATAAGACAAAAGAAACAGTAGAATGCCAAAGAACTTGACCCAGAACGGTACAGAGGTATGTATGTGTTCCCCGGGATACTGGAAAACACTTACAGTCAAGCCTTTTGATGAATCCAGATCACACTCTTTTTATTTCTATTTCTGAATGTAAATTTAATTGTACATGAAAGAAGACATCTATCATTGCAGGTTATGCCAAGACACAGGTAAAGGAAAGAACTTCTTATAGCACAAAAGGTAATGGAAGTTATTTCATTATTTAGAAACTTTTGCAATTTATTTTTGCTAGATCACAAAATCTAGCTGTGTTAGTAACTTCTAGCTCTTTTAAGACATAGTGAAAACTCTGAAGGGTTTTACACTCCTTAATTCCAATGGCAAAAGGGTCTCTACCCTTACTTTACAGGGAAAATAATATACTGATTTAATTCAAAAAGGTCTTGAAAATCATTGATTCCCTACTGGCAGTAGTTAAGTGTCAAAAAATATAGCTGTCAGAAATATGTATGGTTTACTCAGATGTTCCTGTAACGATGTCTCCTGGGCATAATAGCTGTTAATTGTGACTCCAGTTGGGTTTGCTTTCTGTTTTTTAACCATGGAATAGTATAGGCATGCCTTTTTTATTCATAATAACTGCTAAATGTTTCAGTAAACTTCCACTGTGATTGCTTTGATGTCCCAATGAGCAATATACTGTTCAAAACCCGTCTGAGGAATCCCTTAGGAATGTCTTGTAATAACAGTGTTTAATAACAACAAATAAACCAAAGCAATACCCAAACTCCCAGTGTTAGGAAATTTAGGCTGTCTGAAACAAACTAAGAAAAATGCTATTTATCTAGAGGTTAAGCAATGAGCACAACCTATATTTGAGAGAAATCAAAGAGAAGACTAACTTGTTTATCACAGTAAAATATATGATATATATCAGCTCTCTGACTTTGAGCACAGAGGAAGGTCTCTAGTAATTGTCTGTTTCTCATGGCACACCCAAAGGAAAGACTTCAGCCTATAATGTGACACCTGAAAGGATGGAAACAGCAGAATCAACACAAATCTATTTTTAAAGAGGATAAAACACTGGGGCGGAGAAAGTGTGGCTCATGAGATGCATTTTAGGTAAGCAGGTACCTGTGTTAAAGGCCTGATAATGCAAAATGTTTAAACTTGTATTAAAAAAAGACCTAATTTAATCTAGTGTTACATAAGGGCACAGTAATTTCTCCAAAAATGGTGCTGAAAGGGATTAAATACTTAGGCAAAATAAAAACTGGGCAATTGACAGAATCTACTGTGTAGAAAATTTAATAAATTGATTTTGGAGTAGTGGATTAAGAGCATTTTACAAATAATTTCAAATTATTTGAAATAGGACGATTTGGTTGAACCCTGTTGAAAGATGCTAAATATTAATGAAATCCATGTTCATGCAGCGTGATAAAATTAGCCTTGCTTCCAATGCAAGGAAAAAAAAAAAAAAAAAAAAAAAAAAAAAAAAAGTAAAAGAACTAGAAATAACGACAATGTTTTACAAGTTTTCTTTATCAAACAGTCCATCCACTATTCTTTGACCTTATTGTCTTTAAAAATTTGTAGGTTTTTATTGATATAATGTGATGTTACCACTTCAGTTATCGTTAAGATATTATCCTTTTTGAGTGTGACATTTTTGTTATTTCAGAACTTTTGTCTCAATTTTTTTTTCAAATATTAATTCATATTTAAACTCTATTAAGATTAAATAATTTCCCTCAATTTTAAATGTTCTAATTACATCAGTTTTCCTAGACCTACCTTTTCTTTAGCTACATCTATTTGCAATAATTTTATATTTTTCATCTGGGCAGACTAATCTTTTCAAATCTTAAAGCATATTATAATAAAAGCTTTTTTTGAAAAAAAAAAAAAAACAAAAAACAAACAACTAGAGAACTTTAAAAGGTTCTTTTGCTTTTATCAGATTCTGGCTGTTACCAGTCATTAATAATATTGACTTCCTCTAGCACTCCATGTGGCCTAACTGCAATGGTGTGCTGATATTAGCCATACAAAACTTTAAGGAGAATATGCACTTTTCTGTTTTATAGGAAAATGACTCCTAGCTATTTTTATACTAGAATTCACCCACCTTCATTAATACTAAGAAAAACTCAACCAATACTAGAGACACAGTAATGTCAGACTTGGAATGTAATTACAGTACCACATTGCATGTGGTATTTTAGTCATATTACAGAAATGTGATATGAAATGCACAGCTTAAATTTATTTCCTGCCAGCATTATTAAATTTGTTGACTTGCAGGTGAAAATGCTTTGTGCTCATCTGTCATGCATGGATCCCAAATCTGGCTTTGACAAGAAAATTATGATTGTAAGAGGAACTAATATCGTTATTAATTATTTCCCACAAATGCTTAAATTGCATTTGAAGTTCTGAGTATAATTTGGTATTATTCAAAATAATTCAACTAATTATTAAAAATATTTAATCTAATTTAAACTAAAGACTCATCCTGTATACCTTTAAGATAGCCATATTTAGTCAGAATGAATCCCATCTTGTATGAACATTGCCTGTGTGGAATGTCCTTGAAACTTTTCCTTTCTGCAAACTAAGGTCTTCCCTCCAAGATCCCTGCTGGTCATCCTCACACTGCCCAGTTTGTGCCTTTCTGGCCGATAGCACCTGTTGACAATGTGTTTTTGTGTTATTCCTACTGAGAGACTCACTTCTACCTTATCTCATCCTCCTTTTCCTTTACTGGCATCTCACCCATACTTTATATTGCTTCTCTGTTTCATCAGTTATCACCTGGGTCTAAGCAGGTCTTTCCATGCTCCCTTAGTACCAGTGTCTCTTCAGATGTCCTGACTGCATGATGCTCTATTCAGTTTTGGTTTCCTAAGTGTCACTGCCCCAAATCTTTAGCTGACCTCTGTCCAGCTATACCTTGAACTGCTGCCTTTTGCTATTGGTTGTGGGAGAAGAAATTACTGAGAAGGAAACTGTCATCTCATTATTAATATCTCTTAGCAGTCCTGTTCTTCCAAGGACATAATACCCATCAAACTCCTCATCAGGTTTTTTTTTGTGTGTGTGTGTGCTACCAGTGACTGATTCTTTCCTCCTCCCCTAAGATAATAAAACATTTTTGATTTTAACTTTCTCATATTTCACTCCAGTTCTAATGACTGGGACAAACAGGAAGAACTGAACCTAATCTTTCTTGGTATCATGTCCCTTACTAGATGCATCTCATTTGTGTTTGCAAGATCTGGGGCTACAAATAGTCTTGAAGCATGAAAAACTGGCTCTGGTGCCTTAACACTGGTGCATCCAAGGCCCACTGAACTTGTAGAATGTTTACAACTACATTCACCTGACTCCTTAGATAACTGTGGGTTCTCTACAGTGCCCCTCATAAATTCTAATATGAAAAGGAAGCATATCAGTAGTCATTCAACAAATTCCATAATTATTGAATTAACACAAGTCTGAAGTCTTCGGGTACAGTTTCTTTAGTGTATAGCTTAATGTGCAGTTACTTATCAAAACCCAGCATTTACTACAAATGCCTATGACAGCCAATAAACCAGGATTTTTTTCTTATTAAAGGTTCTGGCTTTTGCAGTTCTTGATAATGGCAAGGAAGGCAATTTTGTTGTATTTTCAGAAAAAGACTGTTTTATAAGAATATCCTCTCCTTTTAAAAAACAACTGTGACTCCATCAAATAATTAACAGGTGAGATTCTATAGTTACTACAGAAGTGTCTTCTTAGCCCTGACAGGTTTAAGATCTCATGAAGCAGGAGATTTTCACAACACATAAAAAGCTTTGGGCTCAAACCAAAGAAACTTGGAGCTTTCTTTAACAATTTCAAACCATTCAACTTTTGAGGCTCAGAAATGAAACTTGAACAATAAGTTCATGTCCTTTAACAAAACCGGGTGGGCTCTCAACAGAAGGAATGGTACTGTCATCACTTTTGTTCAAATATTAGTTTATCTTCAAACTAATTTTTCAGGAAAAAAGAAAGGCATATCAGAAGCACTTATTGTAATAGTAAGCTTAGCAAATTACCAGCTTGATTGTGTCTTATCACAAACGTTACTTTATCCACCACAGAGGTTTTGAAAAGTGCTATTCAGGTACACACAACAGCCACTCTATCCAGATTAATTTGTTCCAGGGGCTGCAGCAACAAAACAGAGGAGAGGACCTGACCGCCCTCACCCAAGTTCCCTGAGCCCAAGGCTGGTCCCCATGACTCAGGAGGCAGTTGGAGCTTGCAAACCTGGGCAAGAATCACCACAGTTTCTGTGCTGAGAGCAGCTTACAGGAATGGGAAGGGGACATGAGGGAACCAAGTGAAGCAGCTGCCCTTCAGTGCTATTAATCCAATTACACCATGTGGACTTAAATACTGAGCTAAGCTCTCAGTTATGTGAATGAAAGCAGGAGGGGAGCACCCCATGAGGACCTGGGTTTCTGGAGGACAGGATAATTGTGCCCTACACACAGTGTGTTTGTGGGGATGTGTGTGTGACTCAATCTAAGGCCATTCCTGAGTGTCAGGAGCTTATTCCCACAGAATAGTGGTTAAAAAATTGCTGGGTAGGTATTAAAGATCAGCTGCACTAGACTAAAAAAATCCTTGTACTCCTGTTCAGCCACCACTGCAGGGTTAGGTGGGCTGGGGGGTGTGTGTGTGAGGTGACTGCAGGTGCCAGGGCTGAGAGAGAATGTGGCAGGGCTGTGACCTGCTTCTGCCAGATGTGGTTCCCCACAGGGCTTCGGAGTTAGCCAGGAGTGACAGGGGAGCATTAGGGGCAAGCTCTGGTGTAGCCTGAGAATCAGAGAGTGCAGGCAAAGCCTTCCCCTCACCCTCCAGTCTCTGAATGCTGTGGTAAGAGCTGAGGGCAGCAGCAGGGTGCAGGTTCATGTCCCACTGGGGCCAGGGCTGGGCATGGACTGCTGATGAGGCTGGAGCTGTTGTAGGGCTCCTGGTCCTCAGCAGGGGGACTAGTGGGCTGGGGAGAGCATGGCAGGGCTGACTGAGGCTACCCCTGCCCTGACACTACATCTGTTTTCACCAAGACTACAGGAGGAGACCTCGGGAGTCAGGGCAGCAGGAAGGGCAAGAAAATTTCCCTGGATACGCATTAATCTCCAAACAGGTGGTGGTGTAAAGATATGCTGCAAGACTGCTGCTATCGTGGTGTTGCCATCCAAGGGCTGGATAATGCCAGATGTGCTTGTACTCTGGGTCACAGGAAGAAAAGAAAAATGACTAGTGATAACCTCAGCTATTGTATGTCGGGTAGCATGGTTTAGACTGATTAGTGTAAAAAAAACCCAAAACAATCCCACACTTGCATACTGCATTGCTTCAATACATCATTCTGGTGATGCTGATCTCCCTCCCAGAGTGCAGGAAGCCCAGTCCATCATTGCAGCCAGGAGGAGGTTATGTGAAACTCCAAGGAATGTCAGGCTACTTACTCTGGTTCTGTGAGGGGAGTTGTCTCATTTGGCTCATTTACTGGGCTCCCGTCTTCATGATTGGTAATTCTTTCATCCTCTGTTCTCATTTCCACTATCGGCTCTTTTGATCCATCTTTCCTAAAAAATATTAAGAGTCTTAGTCTCATTACATCATATTAACCACATACATTGCACATAACTAATTACCAAGATCTTTTCTCTCAAAAGTCGGCAAAGGCAGAACTAATTACCAGTGACTAACACCACCGAGACACATTTAACAGCGTGTTCCCAATTCCTTGAAGTCTTCAAAGCATCCTGTATCCATGGTTACTTACCTAACTCCGCAAACATCATGGATTAGCATCTCAAAAGAGCATTTTGTTTATGACTAAATAATAAGAAAATGGCCTCTTCATGAGATGTAAACTTTCCTAATCTAGTATAATAAATATAGGACTTGATTCCTAGTTCTGCTTGAACTTTTCTAGCAGTGTAAAGAGCCTTTATGTTAGTACACACACTGCAGAAGTGTACATTAATTTCCTGAGATCGTGACAATTCCAGCTGCCAGAATGGTGTAAAGAGCCCTTGTGTGATAAGAATCTAGCCCCTTCTGCTTTCACTGGTAGAAGAAACTCTTTGTTTCTATGTCATATTTTGTCCATTTTAGGAACAAATGCTAATCTCTCACATCTAAGTAAATGAATAACCTTTGTGCTAATTGGACAATAAATTCTAAGGAAGTTGGAGCAGAGAGTATTATGCTTTTGTTGACAATCATAGAATTATAGAACAGTTTGGGTTGGAAGGGACCTTTAAAGGTTTAGTCCAACCCCCCCTGCAACAAGTAGTGACATCTTCAGCTAGATCAGGTTGCTCAGAGCCCTGTACAACCTGATCTTGAATGTTTCCAGGGATGGGACATCTACCTCTTCTCTGGACGACCTGTTCCAGTGATTCACCACCCTCACAGTAAAGAACTTCTTCCTGACATCTAATTTAAATCTACCCCCTTTCATTTTAAACCATTACCCCTTGTCCTATTGCAACAGGTCTTGCTAAAAAATCCTTCTCCATCTTTCTTAAAAGCTCCTTTTAAGTACTGAAGGGTACAGCAAGGTCTCCCCAGAGCCCTCTCTTCTCCACGCTGAACAACCCTAACTGTCTCACCTTTCTTCATAGGAGAGGTGTTCCAACTCTCTGATCATTTTTGTAGCCTTCCTTTGGACCTGTTTCAACAGGTCCATGTCTTCCCTGTGCTGCAGACAGCAGAGCCAGATGCAGGACTCCAGGTAGGGTCTCATGAGAGCAGAGCAGAGAGGTAGAATCACCTCCCTCGACCTGCTGGCCACACTCCTTTTGATGCAGCCCAGGATATGGTTGGCCTTCTGGGCTGCAACCACACATTGCCAGTTCACATCCAGCTTTTCATCCACCAGCACCCCCAAGCCCTTCTCTGCAGGGCTGCTTCTCAATAATATAGTGAAGATATGGAAATGGCTGCTCAGTGCTACAGAAGTATTAATATTAATACTAATTAACGTGCATACAATTTTACTCTCAAAAGGCAGATAAAGGAATACTGAAGATATTTGATATTTTCAAAATAATGAAATGTAAATATTACATTTAAATATTTCATCCCTATTCCTGTCATCACATTAGGAAATGTATCCTGGAGCTTTATTAGCCACAGTCTGGAAACACAGAGTAACTGAGTTACAGATAGCAATCACTTATACATTTAGCAGACTATTTTCTGGACCTGTGATGTTCTAGAGAGTCAGACTGCTATGTGCCATAACAAAGACCTAGTTAAATTCTTGCCTAATACATAGACTACATTTTCATATTGTTCCTGAGAAGCTAATTGTTTAACAGGCTGTTATAACTACAATAATCCATCTCTTTAGGAAGAACCTGGAAAACTTTACCATCCTCTGGTAAAGAGGATTAGGTAAATTAGGATCCTCAAGGAAAATCTTTGTAGGTTAAGAAAAGTACAGCACAGATAAATGTGTAGTCAAGAAAATACTAGGGAAGAATTAATTGATAGAAGTCTAAAATATTCTGGTTATTAAAAAAAACCCCAAACCTGCATATTTTTATTCACCTCTGCAAGTAAGATTCTACTTTAAGATAAACAAATGGATACAATGCTCATGTCTCTAGATGATGCAAATAAATGTCACAGCTACGTCATACTGTGAAAAGATTATGGATCGTAGTAGGACTGGTGGAGGGAGTTGTAAGTTCTACTTGCTGTCTGTACATCTACAGTCTTAGGGACAAAGATACATTATTGTATGACCAGAAGCATAAACAAGACGTTGTTAAAGAACAACAATCATATAGGATTGAGGAACTGATCTGTACAGAAAGTACACACTGCATAACAATTAAAAATTCCACAGAAGGGAAAGTGATTTGTAGGAAACAAATTATGTAAGTTCTGTTCCAGGTGGCTGTGTGTATGTTACATTTATTATCTATATTAATCAAATATGGAACATAATTAATGGCTATATATATCTCTTACAATCAAAATCTAAAAAAGAACCTTACCATAAACTCACTCAAAAATCCAGAATGTGAACTGACATATTTTAAACAGGGAAATGTCAGTGTCTTTTAGTGAATGACAGTTGGCATGAAATAAATTCAAAATTTGACTCTTCAAGCCTGTCTTGAAATTTTAGCCTCACAATTTATTTATTCAGAGAACAGTCTAAAATAAGAACAGTCCCAAATATTTTAAGATCTGGCTGACTGAAGATCATCCCAAGAAAAGAAATACAATTAAGTAAGATAGTTGTTCTTGCAAAAGAAGTGTCATGGACGAATTAGTATTAAGTGTCCAGCTTTATGCTTTCCTGGGACAGCACAGACTGGCATTTGGGTTTGAGATATTGATAGGAAGGTATAAACTGTTGTCAACTGACATTTGCAACTACTGCTCCCTAAGGTCTTCCTATTCAGGAGGGTCTGCACACCAATTCGTACTTGGTCATTTCTTGAGTGGAAAACTAAAGCATAAACTGAACTGTTGTGCTCAATAGGAAAGGACAGCTGAGTCAGAATAAGAAGGTTTGCATCTTGATTCTACTGACCCGGACATGCTGGCTCTGCACAATAGAAAAAATGCTGTTATTCCTTATTTAGCTGTCAGCTGTGAAGAATTAGGAAAGAGGTATTTTACGGCATAACTTCTGTTCAGAAACATTATTTGATGTAAATACTCTGGATCTTCCTCTGACTGGTTTTGTTCTGCAGAGGTGTTTCCAAAAGGCTTGAAAACTCAGACAAGAAATGTAATCGTTACATAGGAAAGACACCATCTCTGAATCCCAATAGTCAGAACTAAAACCAAAAAAGTCACTTAGATCTCCACTACTGACAGTGAAGAAGCCCAATACAGCTATGAATAATGAAGGCTGCAAAATCTGCTCTGCTCTGCAGGCATCTGGGGAAGGATGCAATCTGGGAAGCTGCAGGAGAATGAATTGCAAGGCCTGACTACCAGGAAAGCTACAGCACACAGGAACTGGACCAGTAAATGTTAAACCACAAAAAGACAGCATTCTCTCAAATATTATATTGTATGCATAAGAAGTCTATCAGATGACCATCTAAGGAACCTGAAGTTACACAAGTCCATAGGGCCTGATGAGCTGCATCTGTAGAACTTGAGGGAACTGGCAGATGAAGCGGCTAAGCCACTGTTCATCACATTTGAGAAGTCACAGTTGTCTGGCGAAGTTCCTGTTGACTGGAAAAGGAGAAACAATAACTCTCATTTTTAAAAAGGGAAACAAAAAGACTTGGGGAACCACAGGCCAGATAGTCTCACCTCTGTGTCCAGCAAGATCATGGAGGGGATTCTCCTGGAAACTATGCTAGGGCACAAGGAAAATAAGGAGGTGATTGGTGACAGCCAACATGGCTTCACTAAGGGCAAATCACGCCTGAAAAAAATTGGTGGCCTTCTACAATGGGGTTACTGTTACTGGTTAAAGGTAAAGCAACTGACGTCATCTACTTGGCCTTGTGCAAAGCATTTGACCCTGTCCCACACAACATCCTTGTCACTAAATTGGAAAGACATGAGTTTGATGGACGGACCACATGGTGGATAAGGAAATGTCTGGATGGTCGCACTCAAGGAGTTGCGGGCAACAGCAGTGATGAGAGGCATTCCTAAGGTGTTGGTATTGGGACCAGTGGTGTTTAACATCTTTGTTGGTTGTTGGTGACACAAACAGTGGCATTGAGTGCACCTTCAGCAAGTTTGCTGAGGACACCAAGCTATGTGGTGTGACTGACATGCTGGAGGGAAGGGATGCCATCCAGAGGGACCTTGACAAGCTTGAGAGGTGGGACCATGCAAACCTCATGAAGTTCTTGAAACAAGGCCAAGTGCAAGGTCCTGCACACGGGTTGGGTCAATCCCATGCACAAATACAGGCTGGGTGATGAGTGGATTGACAGCAGCCCTGTGGAGAAGGACCTGGGAGTTGTAATGGCTGGAAAACTGACTATGAGCCAGCAATGTGTACTTGCAGCCCAGAAATCCAATTGTATCCTGGGCTGCATCAAGACAAGTGTAGCCAGCAGGTCAAGGGAGGTGATCCTCCCCCTCTACTCTGCTCTGGTGAGACCCCACCTGCAGTGCTGTGTCCAGCATAAGAAGGATATGGACCTGCTCAAGTGGGTTCAGAGGAGACCATGAAGATGATCAGGGGGCTGGAGCACCTCCCTTATGAGGACAGGCTGAGAGAGTTGGGGTTGTTCAGCCTGGAGAAGAGAAGGCTCCAGGGGAGGCTTTATAGTGGCCTTCCAGTACTTAAAGGGGGCTACAGGAAAGATGGGGTTGCCTTATCAGGGAGTGCAGTGATAGGATGGGGGTAGTGGTTTTAAACTGAAAGAGGGTAGATTTAGATTAAATATAAGGAAGAAATTCTTTACTGTGAGGGTGGTGAGACACTGGCACAGGTTGCCCAGAGAAGCTGTGGCTGCCCCCTCCCTGGCAGTGTTCAAGGCCAGGTTGGACGGGGCTTTAAGCAACCTGGTCTAGTGTAAGGTGTCCCTGCCCATGGCAGGGGGGTTGGAGCTAGATGACATTGAAGGTTCCTTCCCACCCAAACCATTCTATGATAATGAAGAAATTACACATTTCTTTAATTAATAAAAAAAGTAACTGCCTAAAGGAGGGACCATAAATAATCCCCTCTCCAGTTTACCTTTTGCAAACCCTGTAAACGTCTTTAATGCACTATTATTTTATGTAATCTGTACTTGAACTGTTTTGCCAGAGATCTCACTATCCACTCTTAGCATTTGAGGGAACATATTTGCACATAAACGATCAGTTCATTCACATTTGTTTGATGAAGTAGCCACTACACAAGGGTATTTGTGAGAATCAGGATTGTTTATTCCCCATTTATGTTTAGCAGTCATTGACTGTTGTATGAAGAACAACCGTGCTCACCAGCATTTCACCCACATCCAACTAAGCAGTTCTGTGTTTTTAAAATCAACAATACTTTTTATTTCTAAAGTGTATGGTCAAGAAACAAGACCTTCCATGAAGTGCTATATCTGAGAAGAGAAACTGTCATGGATTTTCTAGAATACTTCACTCCCAGATTTACTGGCAATGCCACAACCATTGGGTTGGGTATTAGGAGTTCAAAGATGCCACAACCTTGGGTATTAGGAGTTCAAAGATGGAGTTGTAGAAATTGATTTATAAAGATCTGTTACCTGTTCCTCATGGACCAGAAATGTGTCTATAACTATTACCAAATTATGATTGATTTCCTCTGTGTCATGCTGCACAAAAAGGCCATCTTAAATGAGGTGTTGCAAATGCATTATTTGTGTCCATTTTTCTTTTAAGGTAACATTTGAACACAAACAATTCTATATATTTCAGAGGATCATTTTTCCAAGTAACAGAAACATTTTATAATTCCCTTTGCCACACCATAAAATGGCCACAAAGTTAATATAAGATGGGCAGCCAACTTTTTCTTTTAATGAAGTTTCCAATATGTGCAATTAATACTCACAAGTAAGCAGCCTTTCCTTCTTCCAGTTCTTTACTTTTTCCACTTGAACCACTCTTTTTCCCACAGATCCTCCTGGTGATGCACATTAGCAATCCACATTGTCGTACAAAGAAGCAGCTAACATCAGTCACAACCAGGATTAACAACAGGGCTGCCACTCCCAGGCCAATAACAGCACCAAGGCCAAGACCATTAAAAAGAGTGTCTTGAAGGAAAGAAAATTAAAATTTATTAATAAAGTTAATCCAAAAGAATAGCTTTTTATAAAGTTTTTAATATGTAGATCAGGAGGTTTAAGGATGTTTAGATATTAACCACTCAGAAGTAAATGGAACAGTTCCGAAGATTAAGCATGTATACAACCTGAATAAAAAAATAATGTAATCCATCTTTTCTATATAATATTTTCCCATTGCCAAATTTTCACAATGGTCACAGAGCATGTGACATTATTTAACAACAAACAACATCATTTTCTTAACATTCAGAGATTGAAAGTATAAGTATGCAACCTAAGAAAAACATTTAAATGTTGAACATAGTAATAGTTGAGATAAGTTGCCATTTTCCACATTTCAAATACAATTAATTAGCAGTGGTGCTAAGTAGAATTACTGAAAGGTTTAAGAGAGTGCCAAAATACTATTTATTCTTGTAAAGGTAATTTTTTAAATTAAAGTAGAATGAAAAAGTCTTTAAAGAAGTTAATTCAAGCTATTTAATATGCAAAGTTGCATACACTTAGTCTTAAATAAATTAGTATGAGGAAAACTGTGCATATTATTAAATAATTATAGGGTTAGGACCTCATTTTGTATAGTCTTGTACCTTGAAAATACATTCATACACTTCAAAATAAACATATTCCACACCTGATACTGCTTTCTGTATTTTTATTATGAAAGCTGAGGCTTAGCTAAGTTTACTTCATTACAAAGATCAGAAAAAATATTTTAATAGTTTTACTCAGTTGAGATTTCCATAACAGACAGGAATGCTACATATTTTTGAATAGCGTGATTCTCAGAAGAGCAAAACCTACTGTATTTGTGAACTCAGATGACCCTTAGAGAAGTTTGATCAATAAACTGTGGCAAAAAAAAAGCCACGTCAGTGATGGTTCATGCACCCAGATAATTCAAGAACGTGTCACTCTAGCTCAGAAACTGGCTAGTGACAGTGCCTTGTCTGGTGTCATGTCCTATGCAAACTCCACAGGGGAGTGGAACTGGGTGTTTTGCACGTTGGTGTTGCACATCAGCGTTGATTACCTAGTGTTACCATGCCTTGGAGTGATGCATGAGTCAGCAGTACAGTGGTAGATTTCCATTTGCAGCTGTATCTCTGCATGTTGCCAAAAGAAGAGCAAGATTTTTTTGACAGATTACTTGAATACTGTTGTAACAGACAACAAAACATAATATAACGTAATATGATATAAATGTTTTAATGGGGCTCCTACTATCCTCTTCCTCTTTCTTCCCTTCCACTTCCCTGATACACTGTGAACTGTTTTCAGATTAAGAATATAAATAAAGCTTTCATATTTCTGCTTAACTAACTTTAAAGAAAATATCTATTTACTCTTTCAAACATAACTTGATAATTATTTTCTTAAGGACTTCTAAATCAATACATACTAACAGAAATATATGGTTTGTTAATTTATGTGACAGAACTCTTAAATGGAAAAGTAAAAACTTTTTTCAAAAGAAGGGGAACATTTTGCTTATGCAATTGATTTCATTGTCTATTGTATGGGTTGTTTTATTACAGAACTGTTCTTCACAATGTTATTTTGCAATAAGCCAGAATTCAATGTATATAATTACATGGATGGACAGGCAGATAAACAGACAGATATTACTTCAAAATTATTTTCCTTTTTTTCAGAAAGACTTAAACCCCCCTTTATGAATAACAAAAATAATGGCATAGCAATGAAATGATGTATCATTTACGCACTACCCTGACAGCAATGTTGGAAGTCAACATTCCACATGACTTAATTTTCTTCTTTTTTTTTTTTTTTTTTTTTTAACATCAACATTCCCAGTTAAACATTATAATTACTCATACATCTTCCAAAACTTACTTTATCCATACATTCACCCATCTATTTGATGACTTCCTTTGTAAACTTCAGTCATTTGTGCTTACCCGTCTGAATTGTCAGGAAGATGTAAAGAGATTTTTAATGCAAGGTAATTGAAAAGCTTATATGTTTCAACAGATACCATATCAGTAAATTCTATAGAGTCCAGTTCTAGAGACCTTATTCAGCAAAGTTTTCCTCTCTATACCTTCTTAACCACTGAATAGAATGTGGGGGAGAAAAATCAGGATCTTTTAATCCATACTGTTGAAGAGATTCAGGGTTGTTTTGTTGCTGTTTTATTTTTAGGATTTTTTTTTTTTTTTTTTAATGCAGTGTTAAGAAGTCCTTATCATAGGGAGAAACATGTTTCAGAGACATAAAGAGCATTTTCAGTGTCACTGGAACATTGTAATGTGGCAAGCTTCCCACCCCGAAGGATTCAGTGACAGAAAAGCCTACACAGTATTTTTACTGACAAGTGAAGGTAATGTTTGTAGTAACAGTGTTGCTCCTTTGTACAATGATATTCATACTCATTTGTCATGGTTGTGGGGAAGAATTTGGTTTTTATTTTTAATCTTCTTGGTATTGGTGAGACATCTGAGACCTAACTATTTGACTGTTACATCTTTTTCTATCTCTTTATGATTGATAATTTCCTTTTCATTCAGAATTCTCCATCCTCACTACTTCCCTACTTAGCCCAAGACCAATTTTTCCTACTTGCAACCCATTTGTACATACAGGTTTCTGTTTCACAATAATTTTATTTCTGATTTCTTATGATTGCCAATACTTTTCCATTTCTCTCCTTTACCTCCCAAAGCATAAGGGCCACATCTTGCAGGTTGAGGAACATGGCTGTCATCCATTTTCTTGCCCCTCTTGGGTCTTAAAAGTATCTGTGTTATGGTTTATTTTTAATATTCATTTTTTTTAAAGTTCATCTTTGGCTTAATTCTGTTCTTTCTTAAGATACTGGTGTATCTGCTCCTGCAAAAGTCTGTTGTAAAACTAATGCAAATTACTATTACAGCAGACTTAGGCCTGTCCTGAGTGCTTTGAAAAATCATATCATAATATATTTATGGCATTAAAACAATGTGAAATATTGTCTTATTATGACATCAACAGAAGTACTAATTCTGTGACTGGAAGAAATGTTAATATAGTCTTTCAACCAACTTTGGAAATTACCTTTATTATCAAAATGTTTTGCCCTAAAGTAAATTTGGATTAGCTTTACTGTGACAATTCTTAAACAGTGTAAAAAAATACGTTATAAGCAGCAATGATTTATATTTTTTACAGTGTTCCTGTATACTAGTTTCAAAATACTAGTTCCACTTTGTGCTCTACAACAATAAAGACTTTATACATTATATATCTTTTTTTCTAGTTGAAAACACACTTATTCTAAATCATAAGAAATCAATGTTAATGTGAGGGAACTAGTTCTTACAATTTTGTGAAAAGTTTTATTGTAATCTAATCATAGTGTAGCCTTTAAAAATATTGTTTGAAAAAAAGAAATTGTAAGTGCCATAGTTCTGAATAAGTTTTAATTATAATTTGTCAAAAATATGCTAGAGTTAAACTAATATGCTTTTTTAATATAGAATGTGGCATAAATAATATAATACACTTTGCTATGATAATGAAGGGAAATGTCAACTTTAAACAAAGTCACTTCATTCATCCACTTCTTCAGATAAGTGCTTATCAATGCATACTTATGGAAATAAGTTTACAAAACTTCCAGAAATACAATAAAAAAATTGAAGCAATATAAATTCTATAAATGTCATGAAAAGTACTGGCAATTTTCGAGTTCTCTCTAATTCAATAAGTTGTATTTGTAACTTCTAATAAAATAATTGAACTTTCAAATCATTATTTGAATGGGAAAGAGCAATGAAGAGCTTTGGCAAGTAAAACAGAATTTCCCGGTGAAGAGAACTAACTGGAAAGATAGATTTTCTGGGGCCTCAAATCTAAATTCAGAGTGAATTGCTTTAAGAAGTCAGTATCAGATACTCTAAAGGGAAGCAGGTCTAAAGAGAGAGCCACCATCTACATATGTACACAAAGTGTACAGGTGAACTTTGCACATGGAAAACTGAAGTTATTGCTTCTGCACAAAGAGACAGGAACTTAGTATGAAACATTCATATATTCAGACTGAAGTTACATGAATGCATGTGCTTTGATGTGACAGAATTTCTCTGTACTCTTACAGAAACACATTGTATATATTCTGTTGTTTGTACAATAAATAATAATTGCAAGCTTTATAGAAAGCACTCTGCTTGAACAGACTGTTTGGACAAGATGACTTTCATCAGTCCCTTCCAACCTCAACCATTCAGTGATTCTAAGTTTTGTTGAAAAAAAAAAAAAAAGGCAAGTTAGCACCTTTTTGTGTCTTTCTTCCCTTCCCCTCCTCTTTAGCAGTCACGAATTAAAGAAAAGATGAAACATAGATAATGTCACATAGCCTTTAAACTTTTACAGTCATTCACATTTTTAAGGAGAAAAAGCAGTGATATTAAACACTTTCCTATGTTCATAGGGTAGCACCTGGCAGGTACATTTGAATGGATGCGAATGAGTGTGCAGGGATATTATGCATAAGTTTGTCCTTTCTTTCAGGTCAGTCTAAAGCTAAACTATGAGCTGCTCTTGAGTTAAAGTAGTTGAAAGTGATGAGCTAGAGGATGAATTTGAAAATACTACACTGGGTAGTGGCAGAAAAAAAGAAAGCATAATGTTATTATCTTCTTGAACTTGCCCTGCTGTATGGACTCTTAGAAAGGCTGTCTAACCATGATGGGTATTTCTGCACTGCCTATGAATGTTGCCTTTGATTTTACATCTGATCTGGAACTTTTCCTAGAATCAAAGACTTACATAATGTATATACTTATTCAAAACCTCTAAAAAGATAGAAAACATAGATCTTAAAATTTAGTACCTACTGATGAGCAGCCAAACAATCATAATGTAGAACCAAAAAATTAAACAGTTGTACAAGGATTTATGCCAATTAATACTATAATGGTGGAAGGCCAAGACCATTGCTAGAACAAGCACTGCCAAGATAAAGA